AGACTGTGCCTCCATACAGTACCATGCCAATGAGCAACCTTTTTGAGGAACCTCTTTTAACATTGCATCTTTTCCAAAGTGTAACAAATGTACTACAAGGGGGAAAAAAAAGGTTACACTTGGTTGACCTTGTAAGGGCAATTCAGGGAGACCATCTTCTCAATAAAGTGATGGCATAGAACAAGTATTCATCATTCTGTTCCCTCCTTCAAACAGTCTTTGCCATCACAAAATTAAAGTCCAAGCAACCACCACTCACTCAAGAGCCTATAAAAGCCAGTCCAAAACATGCACATAACCACAATGAAAAGCAATATTGCCCTCTTACCTTAGTATCCCTATATCAAAGAAGATGACACCCATGGCTTCTCTCCTGGCCTTTGCTCTACTTTCCATGCTGTCCATTGCTCGATCCCAGGATCGAGCACCCCACGGGATTACTTATGAGAACCCCGTGGCTTTCTCACCATCAGCATTCGAATTCTTCCACCCGAACACTGAGCAGCCGAGTTCTAAAAACCCGGGTGCTTCATCAAATTGCTCACCATTGGCAAATTGCTCACCATTGACTCTGGCAGCGACAGTGCAGTCAACTCTGGCACATGATAGCATATCAACCCCCAACACCGGAGGGAGCAAAATGGGTGTTGGTGGGATTGTTGGCATTGTGTTTGGTTTTGTGTTTTCTGTGCTTTTGGCAATGGGTGTTTACTATGTGGCGATCACACGTCGGTCCAATTTTAGTCGAACCAATTCTGTTCAACCTGATGTCTGATATGCTACGCCTTATCACCCACTCCCCAACATCTTTTTCTTCTTCGTTCCTCCTCTAATGATTTGGGTTGTGCTATGTACCTATGATCTTTCTTAGTATGTAGTAGTTAGTTAAAATTTATTCTGCATTCTTCATTCTTGCCAACATGATATGAACAAATCCACCCCCATTTTTGTTACTTCAAGGCAATAGGAGACCACAGAAATTTTAAACTCCTGCAAAGAACAACAGTGCAAGAAATATCTGAAAGATACCAAACAACCACTGTAAACTAATAAGGGCAATAAAACAGTGTGCTACTTTGTGCAATGCTATTAAGACATACTTTGAGACCTAATTCACTGCTATTATTATGTTAGGAGTTAGCCACAGTGTTGGATGTGGCCCACAACCAATTCAATGGTGGCAATGCTTTAAGTCGACAAATCAATACAAAAAGTATTTATAGCTAATAACTCGCACAAAAATGCAAAAATAGCTCTCACCAAGCAGAAAATTCAGAACAAAACAGATATATCCTATACCAACTGCTCTATCAGTCGCATAGTCATCAAAATTTCAAAGAAATCTCAAAACAGAGTAGAAGATCTATTTCAAACATACGAGAACATTGATTAAGCACACTGTCTTAGGTCAAAACCAAAGGATTCACCATTTATAAGGAAATTGAGTGATTCATTACCTTCATTGGAAGATTGGGAGTGATGGTATAAATGATGCTAGAACATAGGAACAAGGAAATTCCAATTCTAGTCTTCGCTCAGAGTGGCAAGCACCATTTACTAGGTGATTCAATTAGAAGTGGACCAGGATCCTACACCACAAAAGCCTCCATCTGGTAGATGGCCAAGTTAGGGATGAAGCAACGTTAGGGTGAGCAAACAGCACACTAGGCCTTGGAATTTTGTGAGCAGAGCTAAGCTCTGATGGTAATTCAGCATGAAATTGACTTTTTCCTCAGCATTACGGGAGCTGAGCTTTGCCCAGCATAAAGCTCTGCTCATCTCAAATTACAATGACAGAAAAAGTGGACCAGGATCCTACATCACAAAAGCCTCTATCTGGTAGATGGCCAAGTTAGGGATGAAGCAACGTTAGGATCAGCAACCAGCACACTAGGCCTTGGAATTTTGTGAGCTGAGATGAGCTAAGCTCTGATGGTAATTCAGCATGAAATTGACTTTTTCCTCAGCATTACGGGAGCTGAGCTTTGCCCAGCATATTGCTCTGCTCATCTCAAATTACAATGACAGAAAAATCTAGCTTAAGACAGCTTGAAAACTATCCCACAGTTTTGTTTCTTCTAAAATCAAAACAATTAAGATTGTGGCAATAGCTTAAAATATCAACAACGGCGGCCAGAACAATTAAAATAAGAAATGTTGCAAAGATCCCTCAACAAGGTGATTTGCTTCTTTAGTAAGCCGGAAGTTGAAGATACAAACGGACATGCAATTGCATGTCTAACACTCACAAAATGTCAAGGAATACATTTATGTGTTAATAGTAAGTATCATTAACATTTCTACCATCCGCGTGAGCTGAGGGACTCAATCACAGGTCCCAATGTTTGATCCACTGCTTTGTTCCATAGCTGTGCAAGCTCAAAATGAGATTTCTCCCCAAAAATAGGCTCTCCCATCTGGAAGTTTACAAAAAAGATACAGTCTAATATAATGTAGGGACACCATAAAACTTTCAATGAAGATAGATAGCATGTTGAGTTACTAATTTCACATAGCTTATCATTTCTTTAATTTAAGCATCCTATATAAGTCACACTATAGCTAGATATTTCTCATAATGGTAGTGATCAAATAAACCAGACAGAAGATCAAGCATACAGCCACAAAGAACTGATAATGACACATATACTGACACTGACAATGGCAAATACCTCAGTCCTTCCCTTATATAATTTTCTACACGTAAAATATCAAATGGCAAAACTGAAAATTTTCAAGTACTATGGAAATATTATCGAAGCATCTTTTGACGCTTCTAGAGAAACCCGAGCACACAGAACAGTCCTATATAACAAGTTCAAGTTAACCTATATAACAAGTTCAAGTTAACTTAAAGTAAGCCTCATTGGGTAAAAGGAAGCCCATTCCAAACTCTACAGGTTCCGGTCCAACCAGATATTGCCAGACGTAATGCAAAATCATCTTCTGACATTACTACAAGAAGTTTAGTTGTAAAGAACCTTGCCAAGATTGGCCTTCTAAAATTTATGCACATATCAATAGTTTAGTAGTTGGGGACATAGTGATTGAGTTTTCATGTAGCTTTTCTAGTGGAAATTGTATCATTCATGGTTTTCCAACACAACCTTCCTCACAACTCAATAAAACCCAAATAAACCCACAATCTGCACTCAACAATGGGTGCTTCAATGTCTAGTACTATGCAAATACATAATATTAGGCGTTAAATGGAAGCCCATGGAGACCAAACCTTCAAAGCATTAAAAAAATCAATAATAATAAATTTAACACTGATGAAAGCAATAACATTGATGTGTCTTCAAATCAGATTAAATGATAAACAGGTATATTATGGAAAATTAATAGGCAAAACTTATCTCCATTTCCTTGCAAGTACAAACATAAATATATATACTATACTAAGAAATTTCGTGGAAATTCAGTGGATGTGTTTATTTCACATTGCCCCTAGGTTGTTAACGTTCTGTCTTAAACTAGATCATTATAAAAAATTGGCACACGAAATTTCCTAGTATGAATTATATAGATAATGTTTAGCACACAAGTTGCCAGGACTATCACTAACCATAAACTGTCTACGAATTTTAGGGTTTCAGAGGTACCAAATAGGAGTTTTGAAATTTACCTGAGATTGAGGCGTAATTTGAGATTGGTTCTCCGCGATTGTCCCGTAAATGCTTCTCCGCTGCGCGAAAACGACGACTCCAGTGAATATACTTCCCAGTGCAGCGCCAAGTAGACGCTCCTGCGAAAATCCCAAACATTAATTCGCACGAGTTTATTATGTGATTAAATGGAGAAAGAATGCTTGATGATTGAAATAGTTTGGATCAGATAGAACATGAAATAGGATTGTTGCTGACCTGAGCTAGAACGCTGATCATTCCGAAGATCTCCGGCTGCCAAGAAACGCGATACGAGGCCTACGCTCCGAGCAAGACCGATTCGCCAGCGAAAAAACCAACAAAATGTATTAACTGAAACATAAAGGTGCAAAAATCAATACAATCCTCAACACTTTCGGAAACAACACAAGTATCCCTAATATTGTTGTAATTGACACTAAAACCCACTATTTTTTAAGGCTGAGAACTAAAAAAATGGGAAATTTCTATTAAAATTTTATTGGAGCAAATTAGTCTCACTATTAACAATTTATTTTTGACTAGCTGAAAATAGAGAAAATATTGGGTGTAACTATTACACTATGTCATCATGTTGGTATAGTGTAACTATCCAACGATAAAATAACATGTGGACAGGTAACTATTCATCCATACCATATAGTAACTATTCATCCATATCAAGTAGTAACTACCTCGTGTGAGATCCACCCGTCGACATGATATTTTATTATTAGACTAGCGATATTTGTGATTGAAGTCATTGTATACTAAACTTTGATATTATGTGTGTATAGGGTTACTGTGTGTTGTAGAGTGTTTGTGTTGGATTTATAAAATTTGGGAGGAAAGTGTACGATGGGTGTGTGAAATTTTGGAGGAAAATATACCTCATAAATTCAAAAACCTAGTTATCTTATTATATAGATGGCTATAGTATGTCGACATGATGATATGGGTAACGGTTACGCCCAATATTTTTTTTCCTTGAAAACTATGTTTTTTTAAACGAATGCAACTCCCATAAAGGATGAAATATCAGATTCTGTGTGATACCGCAATATATCCTCAATGTTGTAACCCTTTTAAAAAAAATTACTGCAAATATGGAGTAATTTTTTTACTATTTTTTTTTCAAACTAACTTATTTGGCAAACATTATATTAATAATATAGAATTCAGTTAAAATAATTCAATCAATTGTTCCTACTAATTCCATTAAGATTTGGAATGATTTTCAAACATAAAAGTGTGATTGTGACAAAACATAAGGTTTTATGTTTAGCTTCGGTAGACTCTGTTTTTTGTTTTTGTTTTTTTTTATTCAACTGTCAGAATTATTTGGGTTAATTTATGCATACTTTAACTAATTTTTTTTCCAGTTCGATTAAAAGCCGGCAATCCACGCCAAAACTAAAGTATTTACGAGGCATAAATCTTGATCTCAAGAGATTATCAATATTCGAACTCAGCACATTTGAATTTATAACTCGTCTTTGTTACCATTTAACCTGCCTATTAGTTTTGCATAATCAGACTATTATAGTACCTACCTCTTGCTTTTGTGACATGATGACCTTGGTTTAGCACCAGGGATGAGATTAGATTTAATTAAGTTGATAGTCACCTACAATTGATTCGATTTTGTTGTATTCGAATGCCAAGTAAATCAAATCTTACGCTATAAAAATGGGGTTAATTTCTTACATGGTATGTGTAGGAGAATGCACATTTAAATGTAATATACCAACCTATAATCCAAGTATGACAATGGTACCAAGCACATAGACACATTTTTTTAAGGGAAAATTACTAATAAATATTATTTTTTTTTCAAATAAACATCAATTAAATTTTATCATTTTTGTTTTATATCAATGAAGTTTTATTTTTAATAATTTATTTCAATTAAGTCATAATTTACTTATATTAATTTTATCCTTACTTTTTAATTACAAAAACACTTTCATTCATTAGCATTCTTTTGTCAATCCAATGGCACACTATTCGAGCATTTCAGTTGCTATATGACTTTGCATTATTTTTGATACGTCAACGGTACACCCTCGATACTTTTCAATTGCTCTATGATGTGTACAACAAATGAATTCTTCCTTCGATTAAGGTAATGTTATTATATTACAGATTCTATTGATAANTTCAATTGCTCTATGATGTGTACAACAAATGAATTCTTCCTTCGATTAAGGTAATGTTATTATATTGCAGATTCTATTGATAAATTTATCTCATTGGTTTTAAATTATTTTATTAATTTATATTAAATTTAAAATGATTAAGTTAAGAATTCATTTTAGTTATTATGTTTGAATCAATAACGACATTAAATTGGAATTAATCAACAAATATTATTGATGTAATTTTTTTTTAACTTTTCTTATTTTATTAAATACTTTGCAAATATTGTCTCAGGTTTTAAGATTGGGTGTCCCAATGAGATAAGAAAATAAGAAAATGTGGATTTTCTTTGGATCTTACCATGAAGTTTATTGATTTTTTTAAAAAAAAATTTATGGGGTTTCAATGTTAGTTTTGTAAGCAAGAAATTTTTGTCTTATTAATTAGTTCTAAGAATGTNTCAATGTTGGTTTTGTAAGCAAGAAATTTTTGTCTTATTAATTGGTTCTAAGAATGTAAAAAAATGAAAGAGTTTTAATAATTAAAGGGTAATGATAAAATTAGAATATAATGAAATTTAGGACTTAATAACAATAAAATATCAAGAATATAATTTCATTGATTATAAAATAAAAATGATATGACTTAATGAATTTTTGTGAGAAAAAATAATACTTATAGGTAATTTTTCATTTTTTAATGGAGAATGTGTCAAATTTCGTGAAACTTAATGGTTAAAGCGTCTAACTCATAATTGGCGAATTCGTAGATTTAATTCCTACTGTATGCATGCCAATGAGACCCTCCAATAAATATATTGATTTTTACTTGAAAAAATCATTTCGAATGACATTTTTTGAAAGTGATTAAATTTAAGAAATGAGCGTAAAAGGGCATGTTTTTGAGAATATAAATTGCATAAAGGCATGAGAAATGTGTTCAATTTTTTTTAACACATTTCAAAAATTAACTCACATGACCATTTTTTTAAGGCTATATTTNTGAATATTGTTGGATTTATATTATACATGATAGGGGTAGAAATCGCGCGTTCGAATCTCATCCCTGAACGAAAGGATTTTGGCTGACCTGACGTGTGCCAAAGCGATCACCCAATAGCCTTTGACCTCCATCCCAAATCGGGTAGGAGTCGCCCCCCCCCCCCCCCCCCCCCCCCCAATTGTTTTCCCTGATATAGTCTCGTTACAGAGGCACAAAAACAAGGGAGATTAGAGCACCTAGAAGGAGAGGGAAAGAGACCCTAAGCTTGAAAGTGTGTTTCAATGGAGGCAAGGTCATGTTACTGTGGGAATATGAGTAAATTGAGGACTTGCAAACCCAGTAAGGTACATCACAATTCTCATTAATGGCACTCTGACTCTACAACATCTTAATACCACTAATCTCAACAACCCTGTTTGTTTTTTGCAAACAAGATGTCAGAACCATTGTCTCTTTATCAGTCAACGTATGTACCAACTCTTTGTTGGTTCAGACAATCACCTATGTAATTTATTATACCCCACATTTGTTAAACTTTTGTTGGTTCATACCTATAGTCACTCCATGGTGAACCTCTATAGAAAAAAGTGAGGAATCAAGTCTTGTACTAGTCACTGAACAAAGGGGAAAAAAAATAGTTTATTTCTCAAATATTTTCAATTTATGCACATGGCAAATAAACAAAAGAAAATTATACAAAATTTTTATATTCAACCAAATCACTTTATAATCAATGAAACATTTTTATATTGAATATATATTATGCACATGCACACGCACATGCACACGCACATGCACTGCCTTTGAAGGCAAACTACTAAACAAATCTTTTGAGAAAACCAATGATTATAAAATAGAAACATGTAAAAAATGTTTTCGGCAATCAAGACCAAAAGAAAAAAAAAAAACTTCTCAATTTCAGAGTAATGTACATATCGTGGCAGGAAATGCTATACATATCAAAATTTTTATCAAAAAATATTTTTACCAAATGAGTTGGCAACTCCAGATTATTCTTGGACCCACCAAGATATATCCATCAACATATTTACTAAATTTTCGGGTCTCAAATGATGTATCACACTGATAACTATTAAATAGTTATTGAGAGGTTGTGGGATTTATTGATCTTATAGTTTATATTAATTTGTGATTCAAAAATTGATGGATACAGCATTGTTAATCCTTGTTGTTCTGGATGAAATATAGGGTTAAGGATATAACACGTGATTCAACCATGACCATTGACTGGTCAATATTAATTATTTTGACAACTATACCCTTAAAAAATGACTACACGAGTTGCACGCCTTTGAAATCTGTTAAAAAAATTCATTGTTGTGAGTCGCACTATTTAAAATTAGAGTTAATTGTAATAGAGGTCTTCAAAGTATGAGATTTATTTTATTTTAATTTTTAATATTTTAATTGTATTATTTTAGTTCCTAAAATATTGAATATGTTTCAATATGGCAGGTGATATCATATCATGAGTGGCATATAATATTATCAACTAGAGCAACTCCAAGGTTGTTCGCTAGTTAAGCCTTTTAGCTATTTTGGCAAGGAAAACTCCAAATTTGGTGCTTCAATCCACTAGCCAATCTCCTTGCCAAAATAGGTGGAGATCTTCATCCTAGCCAGATCTGGAGAGCACATTTGCTCGCCAATTGCTGCTTGGGTTTCTCTACCTTCAATCACTCAGCCCGTCTTCCTTCCTCTAATCTCTCCATTTCTGCTTCATTTCTGCATAACGACACACACTGTGAATTGGTCTTCTTTCCTCCTTCAGGTATGTCTTCCTTCCTCCAATATAAGTTTTCCCTTAATTTCTGTGAATCGGTCTTCGCTCAACCTGACTTTTTGAAATTTTTTGAGATTGTGTTTCTTTTCATTGTTCACAATATGTTTGATGAATTGCCTCAATGAGATATGCACTCGATTTATCTAGAATCCTGTGTTAGTTTTTTTTATTGTTACTTTTATTTGGACTACAAGAATTTTATATCAATTCTTTTTCAAAAAAAAAAATTCACATTGCTTGTTCTTGTTTTAATGAACCATAGTGCCGTGTTGGATGGTGTTGTGTTGGTAGATAAATAGTTGTTCTTGTTCTTGTTCTTGTGTTGGTAGATAAATATTGTTGAAAGGAACCATGTTACAAAGAATCCTTATTCTTGTTCTTGTGTTTTTTTATTTTTTTTTTGGAAGTAA